GCATCCTCACCAGCATTTGTTGTTCCTAGTCGTTTCTATGTTGGCTATCCTAACTGGTGTGAGGTGCTATCTCATTGTGGTTTTAATTTGCATTTCTCTGATGATTAGCAATGTGGAGCATCTTTTCTTGTGTCTGTTGGCTATCTGAATTTCTTCTTTGGAGAAGTGTCTGTTCAGATCCTCTGCCCATTTTTTAATTGGATTATTTCCATTTTGTTTGTTAAGGTGTGTGAGCTCTTTGTATATTTTGGATATCAACCCCTTATTGGACATGTAGTTTATGAATATATTCTCCCATACTGTAGAATACCTTTTGTACTACTAGTGGTGTCCTTTGCTATACAGAAGCTTTTTAGTTTGATATAGTCCCACTTGTTCATTTTTGCTTTTGTTTCCTTTGCCCGGGGAGATATGTTCATGAAGAAGTTGCTCATGTTTATATTCAAGAGAGTTGTGCCTAAGTTTTCTTCTAAGTTTTATGGTTTCATGACTTACATTCAGGTCTTGGATCCATTTCTAGTTTACTTTTGTGTATGGAGTTAGACAGTAATCCAGTTTCATTCTCTTACAAGTAGCTGTCCAGTTTTGCCAATACCAGCTATTGAAGAGGCTGTCATTTTCCCATTGTATATCCATGGCTCATTTATCATACATTAATTGACCATATATACTTGGGTTAATATCTGGACTCTCTATTCTGTTCCATTGGTCTGTGGGTCTGTTCTTGTGCCAGTACCAAATTGTCTTGATTACCGTGGCTTTGTAGTGGAGCTTGAAGTTAGGAAATGAGATGCCCCTGCTTTATTCTTCCTTCTCAGGATTGCTTTCACTATTCAGGGTCTTCAGTGGTTCCATATGAATTGTACAACTATTTGTTCCAGTTTGTTGAAGAATGCTGTTGGTATTTTGATAGGGATTGCATTGAATTTGTAGATTGCCTTAGGCAGGATGGCCATTTTGACAATATTAATCTTCCTACCTTAGAGCATAGGATGAATTTCCATTTATTAGTGTCTTCTTTAATTTTTCTCAAGAGCGTCTTATAGTTTTTAGGGTATAGGTCTTACTTCCTTGGTTAGGTTTATTCCTAGGGATTTTATTCTTTGGGATGCAATTGTGAATGGAATTGTTTTCCTGATTTCTCTTCCTGCTAGTTCATTGTTAGTGTATAGGAATGCAGCAGATTTCTGTGTATTAATTTTGTATACTGCAAGTTTGCTGAGTTGAGATATTAGATCTAGTAGTTTTGGAGTGGATTCTTTAGGGTTTTTTATGTACAATATCATGTCATCTGTTAACAGTGACAGTTTGACTTCTTCCTTACCAATCTTGACACCAGGCTAATAAAATTTTAAGTTTACCGTTAAACATCTTTTATTTCCTTGTGTTGTCTGATTGCGGTGGCTAGAACCTCCAGTACTATGTTGAATAGGAACAGTTCTTTTTATGTGAAGGAAGTTAATCCTTTGTTATCTAGCCAATGTTGGCTCCCTCTCACTCCCATCCTGCCCCAGTTGTTTGTTTGTGAATTACAGATCTACAGATTGGGTAATCCAAACATTTTGCTTTCTAGATGAGAAAACTGAGCCCCAAGTAGGGTTAGTGAGTTTTTTCTTTGTGTGTGTGAGCATGTAGTCACATTTACAGAGCTGAAACCAGCATCAAGTTTCCTTGCTTCTAGGTTTGGTGCCTTTACCATTATACCATGCTATTTTTAAAGGCTTACTCCTCTCTATCCTCCACAATTGCTTTTTATCACTACCTCTTGCCATAGTCAGATGTTTTATGGTAAAGTTAGAATTTTATTAGCCTGGTATCAAAGTTTGAAAGGCTATAGGGTCATACAGGAACCCAGGAAACTTCACAGTTATTGGACTGTTCCTAATGCATGGATAACTAAGCTAGTTTCTCTGTATGGCAGTTATATTAATTTCCTTTACATTTGTTTAAAAAAGTGTTTTGTTTTGTAGGTTCATGGGTGTGTGTGTACATCAAGGACAATTGCATGCACTTACAGAGGTAAGACTTAAATAATCACATTGAAGTGATTTTGCTTTGGTTTCAGCATTTATGATTTCTAGTAATTGTTACTTGTGTATGTTAGCAAAATGTATGTGCGTTTATGTTTATGCAAAGATGGCAATTTTAATAATGCTTTCGTCTGTTATATGGAGATAATGGCCATTATCTTTTAATACTCTTGGATTCCCTCAAAATACTTGGTGAGTGCTTTGAGGATATGTGTGCTCAAATATTATATTGATTCTTTCTGCCTTGATAACCCCCTCCTATGCTGAGGGATGGCACCACTAAAATGCAGAATCTGCCTTGGCAACAAATTCCTAAACTACCTAGAAATGTTTGGTGTCCTAATCTAGAATTCCACTGTTGCTACTCTTGTTTCCTGGTTGGTCTTATTACTCCTTGGAATCAGTTTACATCTCCATTCTCATTTCATTTTCAGCCTTCTCTAGGTAAATGAATATGTGATAGTCACTATTCAGCCTCTGAGGACCAGATAATCTTCTCTAGAATAGAGGCTTCCCAAATTCAGGTATTGAGTTATCAGCTTCAGAATTTTTTTGGGTGCTTCTTAGAAACACAAATTCCTATAATCGTCTAATTTTAGTAGATCTGCATAGGGTCCATATGTATTCTTAAAAGCTCCCCAGATGATTCTAATGAGCATCTAGATTTGATAATCTATATTCTAGGGTTTTAATATTCTTCCTTGAGAAGTAAGTACCAAAATACAAAATGAAGAAACTTAGGGAAAAAATTGTTTTAGAGAAATTGCAAGAGTATTGGTTTCCTGCTGGCCTACTGCCTGGTATCAGTCCTTAATATCTTATGAAGGAAATAGGTACCTCACTCTATGTCTCTTTTCTCAGTTAACTGAGGACTGCAGAATATGGACTGCATCTAGCTGTGTCCTGCCTCTTATATGGAAGACCAAAAGGCAAAATAGTGAGGTGGTTAAGAGCATGGGCTCTTGCTCTTAATTGCTCTTAAAGTCTTGATTGTGTAGGTTTGAGTTTCTCTGTGCCTCATCTGTAAAATAAGGTACTAATAATAGTACCTACCCCAGGGAGTCTAGATAGAGAAGAGGAACAGTTGCTGAGCCCTAGAGTATTTCAGTTTTAAAACTCAGAGGAGGAGGGCAGATTGAGAGGGTATGGCTGGTGAGGTAGAAAGAAAACCAGGAGAGCACGTTGGCCTGGAATGGAAAGGAAGAAGGAGGTTCAAGGAGGATGGAGTCATTAATTGTGAAATGCCACATATAAGATAAGATGATTATCTCACAGGGATGTTGTGAGATTAAGATACAAAATGCCGATTTAGCACAGTGCCTGGTATATAGTAATTGCTTAATACATTTTAATTATTACAGCTTTGATTATTAACAGTGACTAGTCCATCTTGAACTCCTTGAATTGTCAGTATTTCCTTTGTTGCTTAGTTCAGTATTGCTATTAGTGTCATTAAATTTTTTAAAAACCTTTAATTGTACTGTGACGTAACAGAAAAAGCACATATGTGAAAAGTGTATAGCTCACTAAATTTTTACAAATGAATATACCCATAGCCAGCATCCCAGATCAAGAAGCATTTTCTGTGTATTTCTTTTCTCAGAAGTGAGTCTATATATTCTTCAAAGACAAAACTTTCTCAAGCTTTCTGTCTGCCAGAGGTTTGACACTAATAATTGTAAAAGTATTTGTTGTATTCCCTACTTGTATAATTTTTTTCTGAAATATGATTTAATGACAAGAGCTTGTACATTGGTTTTTCTGACAAAAAACATACTTTACAATCTGTGATCATGTTGCAAATTTAGAACTGGGTTTAGTGGAAATGGCATAAGTGAATGGTCATAATATAACGTTGTCTTGGCCATGTTGCACTTAAATTATATTTTCTGTTATTTGGTAGTTTATTTGTAGCCATATATAACATATACTGCAACTGCATGCTTTGTGAAAGAGTGTGTATTTCTAGTATCATTAATGAGATGAAGCCCAAATATCCAAATGCTTTCAGTTATTTTCAGAAGGGGATCAGCAAAGGCCATCATGGCATGTGTCTCTGGAGACTCCTACATTTAATTGTCTTGTAATTTGACTTGGCAGCACAGCTATCAGTTTTATTAAGGGTCATAAAAATAAATTGCTAATAATATCTAGGAAAACAGAAGAAATGTATTGACATTCATTAAATTTTTCTTGATCGGTGGAATGCTTATGCTCTACAGTAATGTGAATATCATGCCTATTTCTCTTAAAATAGTTTGTCAGTAATTACAGTAGACATGAATAGCTCTTGTTAATGCCTGTAAAGTACTAATATTACTAAGAAGAATATTTCTTCTATATAGTAGTAGTCTGGACTTTTCATCTTGAACCACTTCCATGAATCTTCATTGAAATGTAGACATTAATTGAAATTGCACAGTCAGGCACTTAAAAGTGTTTTTTAAACTATGAGTAGTAAGGATAGACTTCTGAGTTTTAAGCAAAGAAGTTATTTGTTAAAGAGAAAGAATTTGATGAAAGATCAGAATCTTTTATGTTTAATGAGTTGAGTTAAGAATTTATATTGTATTGAGGAGGAGTGCTCTGTAAGTATGTCTTTGATTCAGAAAACCTAAACTTGCCTTTCATTTATCTAGTCATGAGTATCAAGGAAGTAGAAATCTTTAAAAGACAGAAAATATGACCCCATGTTAGCTATTGCTATGTAATATCCAATCAAAAAAACCTCTAAAGCATACAATAATAAACATTTATTTCTCATATGTCTGGCAGGGTTCAGCTGAGCTGAGCTGGGCCCATTGGGCAGTTCTGCTGGCCTCACCTGGGCTCTCTTACGCATCTATACAGCAGGGAGTGGTCTGCTCTAGGTTGGGTCTTGCTGAGCAGTGTTGCACCAGATGTTTCTCATCCTTCTTCTGGGATGAATGGACTAGCCCAAACATATCCTTAAGATGATACCATAATAGCAAGAGTATGCCATCTTATTTGCACAACTGCTTTTCATTATTCTGTTTATGTTCAAGTTTGCTTGGCCAACATCCCATTGGACAAAGCAAGTCACATGCCTGAGTCCACATTAGGAGCATACTGCAAAGTTACATGTCAGAGGGCATGGATTCAGTAAGGGGTGAAGAACTGAAACCATTATTGCAGTCTCCCACACCCTGTAAATATCCCATGATTTATATAATTATTTGCCTTTTCTACTCTACTTGAGGGTAAAGACTTTCTTTCATTTTAAAATTATAACTACCAGTTACTAAACACAGTATGGGCTAAATGCTATGCTTGGTGCTTTATATATTAGCTATAATTCTCACAATTCTGTAGTTCTGTTTTCTCCATTAGGTAGAAAAAAAACTAATGCTTAGAGAAATAAAGTGACTTCCCCAAAGTCAAAGTCAAGAATTTGGATCCAGTTTTATCTCACTTCAAAGCCTATACTCTTTCCATTACAACATACTGTCGTTAATTCACTATGCATTTCCCACAGGTTATTGTATATGTAGCATGTGTAGTGTTTGTGGAATTTGAGTCTAATTTTTTATATATTTTGGTGTATTTGGAAAAGATATTTCCTAGTTACTGGGTATATTAATGTTTTGTTGCAAGTAACAGAGAATAGTTAAATGGCCTTAAGCAACAAAAGGACTCATGGAACTGGTATTCCAGCAGTTTATTAGGTTAAGGGTTGTTTTAATTCAGCAGCTAAATAGATGTTATCCAGAGAACCCAAACCCTTCCATCTCTGCTGTCTTTACATTGTCAGCTTCATCCTAAGGTTGGCTGTCATTCATAATAAAAAAGTAGCTGCCACCAAATTATATGATGAGTATTTTTTCTTCCATTTCTAAGATGGAGGTGGGGAGGAGTGTCAAAGAGAGAGATGCTTCTGGACAGATTATGTATCATTTCATATCTTCTCTTTTTACGTGTGTTAAGAGAGATACAAAGAGGAAAATATCCTCAATCATCAAACACTTTGGGGAACCTCTTTGAGAACCTTTCAGTGCCTCAAAGACTGGGAATTTAGGGAATGAGTCTGGTATAAGGTTGTGGGGCAGCGGTCTTAAGTGACAATATTCTCTGGCCAAAGGAGTCAACAAAAGAATTGCTTGTCAGGTAGGCTTTTTTGTCATAAAGAAACTTGGTTTTTTTTCTCACTGTGGCAGTGAGAACTACGCAGCTATAAACACAGCAGTTGCTTGGCCTGGTGAAGTGACTCAGTCCCTTTTACAACAAAGTCACCTCAGTCAGACAGATACTTAGTACTGAAAGAAATGCTTTTAGCTCATGAGGCTGTGGATTAACCCTGCAGGCAGCTGAAGAGAATTTTTATTCACATAGTTCTCATCTTCTCACTCACCATTTCTGCCCCCCACCATACACCTGCTTTCTTTAATGCTAGTGACTTTAGAAATTCCTTGTTTCTGTGGGTTGATATGACCTGTTTCTGAGTTGTTTTTTGTCACACTTCATAAGAAACCTTAATATAATGAGAGAGCTTACAATGAAAGGAAACTCTTGAGTTCAGTGACCAAACTCATGCATTATTTATAAAAATGAGCAGCCAGACCCCAATTCCAGTTTCTCAGTGTGCTGTGATACAGGCACTATTTGAGCCTGCTTCTTCTCTTGTTTGGTGTGGCCCAGTACAGAGTATTCTCCTGGCCTTAATTCCCTTAAGCCAGATGTGGAATTGTCTGGTGCTGCCTGGGGTTACCTTTTGGCAGCACAGCTGTACCTGTCTGTCAGGCTGGGGTGGCTCTGGGGAGACATACTACTATCACATGGATGTTAAGAGGACACATCGAAGGTAGTAACAGTAACTGCCTTGTGATCCAGGACTTCCTAAAGGAATGGGGAGGGGAGGGGAAATGACAAAGATAAGACGTAGTATCCCTGAGGGAAGAAAGAGATGCACTTTACGGATACCACTCTGAGTTAATCTGTGATAGGCTAGGCACTCGCTAGGTTCTGAGCTTA